TATCTATCTATCTATCTATCTATCTATCTATCTATCTATCTATCTATAATTTTTTTCCCCCTCCAACTACTCTAATACTGACAAAGGTCTCATGAGTTACAAATATCATCATTCTATGTAGGAATGTAAACAGTTCAACCTTAATAAGTCCGTTATGATTTGTCTTTCCTGTTTACCTCTTCATACTTCTCTTGAGTCTTGTATTTGAAAGTCAAATTTTCTATTCAGCTCTGGTCTTTTCATCAAGAATGCCTGAAAGTCCTCTATTTCAATGATTGTCTGTTTTTTCCCCTGAAGGATTATACTCAGTTTTGCTGGGTAGGTGATTCTTGACTGTAATTCTATCTCCTTTGACCTCCGGAATATCATATTCTAAGCCCTGTGGTCCCTTAATGTAGAAGCTGCTAAATCTTGTGTTATCCTGATTGTGTTTCCACAGTACTTGAATTGTTTCTTTCTGGCTGCTTGCAATATTTTCTCCTTGACCTGGTAACTCTGGAATTTGGCTACAATATTCCTAGGAGGTTTCCTTTGGGGATCTCTGTCAGGAGGTGATCAGTGGATTCTTTCCATTTCTATTTTACCCTCTGGTTCTAGAATATCAGGGTAGTTTTCCTTGATAATTTCTTGAAAGATGATGTCGAGGCCCTTTTTTTGATCATGGCTTTCAGATAGTCCCATAATTTTTAAATTCTCTCTCCTGGATCTATTTTCCAGGTCAGTTGTTTTTCCAGTGAGATATTTCACATCGCCTTCTATTTTTTCATTCTTTTGGTTTTGTTTTACAAAGTTTTAATTTCTCATAAAGTCAGTAACTTCCATTTGCTTCATTCTAATTTTTAAGGAAATATTTTCTTCAATGAGCTTTTGGATTTCCTTTTCCATCTGGCCAATTCTGCTTTTTAAGGCATTCTTCTCCTCATTGGCTTTTTGGACCTTTTTGCCATTTGGGTTAGACTTTTTTAAGCTGTTATTTTCTTCAGTATTTTTTTGGGTCTGCTTTAGTAAGCTGTTGACTTGTTTTTCATGATTTTCTTGCATCACTCTCATTTCTCTTCCCAGTTTTTCTTCTACTTCTCTTACTTGCTTCTTAAAATCCTTTTTGAGCTCTTCCATGGCCTGGGACTGATTCCTATTTTTCTTGGAGGCTTTGGATGTAGGAGCTTTTACTTTGTTGTATGTTTTGATCTTCTTTGTTACCAAAGTAAGATTCTATGGTCTGACCTTTTTGTCTGGTTTGCTCATGTTTGCAGCCAATTATTTGAGTTTTAAACTCTTTGTTAAGGTAGGGGTCTGCTTCCAGTGTGGAGAATGTACTATACCAAGTTTTAGGGGTTTTGTGCAGCTGTTTTCAGAGATACTTCTAGGAACCTATAAATTTTCAGTTCTTCCAAGGTGCTATGATCAAGGGTGAGGTGTTTACTCCTTTCCTGGCCTGTGTTCTGGTCTATGAATGCCCACAAGCACTCTTTTCTGCCTTAAAACTCTGAGGAGGATTCCCTCTCCAGTAAGGCACAAGCTCCACCTCACCAGCACGCCTCCTTGCCCCAGGATTGCCACCCAGAACTGTGACTGAGATCCAGGCATGGGCAAAGCAAGAGAATCCTGCCTCAGCACCAGCAAAGAGATCTCTGCAATTCCTCTCTGATCAGCCGCCTAATTCCCCCTCAATCTGTGGGACAAGAGCTCTGGGAGCAGCCGCTGCCCCGGGGCTGTGCAGATACTGGGGCTGGGACTGAGCTTCTCTCTCATCGTGGTTACAGACCTTTCCTACTGACCTTCTATGTTGCCTTTGGCATTTGAGAAGTCTGGAAACTGCCACAGCTGCCTATGATTCAGTCCTCTGAGGCCTGGTCTTTTCCTGTACACCCATCCTGAACTGTGTTCCTTTCCCAGCCCAGTGCAATAAACCTTTCCAATCAACCATCCAGGTTGTGTTGGGCTGTAAATTTGTTTCACTCTATCTTTTTGTGGGTTCTGCTGCTCTAGAATTTGTTTAGAGCCATTTTTTATAGGTATTTCGAAGGCTTTGGGGGAGAGCTCAAGGAAGTCACTCCGCCATTTTGGCTCTGCCTGAACATTTTTTTGAACCATAAAATTACTTTATAATAGTGTTAACCCACATTCCACCTCAGTTTTGTCTATTTATTATTTTAAGATTATTTAATTTATTCAATTAATTATGTATTTAATTAAGTTTATTTAAATATTATTTAATATTATTAATATTGTCTATTTATTATCCTCACCCATGTGAGGAGAGGATTCATTTTTAGATATTTAAATTTCCCATGATTTCCTATGAACCACTAGAGCTTTCTTAGCCATCATAATGTAAATTCTTCATGGTGGTGCATCTACGGATAGTCCTTTTGAAAACTTATACTTTAAAAAAATGATAAAAAATACAAGGAAAATGGAAGAGAAAAGAAATAAAAGAGGGCCAGAGATGAGAGGAAAGCAAAAGGAGAGGGGTTGAAAATAGGGATGAGAGACAAAGAAAGGTTGGGCAATCCTGCGTATTACTTGACTTTGTTAGGTCTGACTTCCAGGCTAATAGACAGCTATACCTGGGGCTCTAGCTCTTGCTACTTGGATGACTCTTATTTTTTAAGGTCATCTTTTTTTGATATACCTGACAGAAAGTAGGTGATTGATTGACTGCTCCAAATTTCAGCCCTTTATACACCATCTCTTCTTGAGAGATCATTGTATATATTTTTCAATATATCATTAATAGAAGAGATATGTAACACATTGAAGTCTTCCATTATTATTATTATTATTATTATTTTTAATACCTCAGTTTTTCATTGAAGAACTTGGGCCAGCCATTTGTTGGCTATCATTTTCAGATACGTAACTGGCCTGCCTTCTTTTCAGGTTATTCATATCCTTATGAATATAATGACATACTTACGAGGTGTCACTAGTAACATGATGCAGCCCACTCATAGCCACTGTGCATCTTTTCATTGCTGTTAGAGCTATTTGCCATTTTACTTTTTCTAAGACCTTAGTGTTCTGTGATTCACAGCCACATAGGTGTGAAATTTTTTTTTTTAATTTTTATTACATATTTGTAATAAGTGGGCTTTTTTTTTTTTAACAGTGAGTGTTTTGAGATCATGGAAAGCACTGCATTTTCCCAATTTTGATCTGATATTCTCCTTCTATCAATTCTGGGCTCACTTGTAGGCCATGTCTGTGGTGCCATCTAACTGTATTGATAGATTAATTCAGTAATCTTCTTTTCTAGTGAGTTATCATAATTTGGGCAGTATTTGTTTTTACTCTCTTTATTTTCCTGAGGTTGATGGTTATTTAGCCCAGTCACTTTCTTATCACTTTCAGCGAAGAGGCTTGTTGGGCTCTGGGGTTTAGTACAATTAGCACAATGTTAGCTGCCAACAAGAACATGTGTAGGTCAGACAATGAGGGCACACCCATTTCTTCTGCCTGGCTCCATTCACTTAAGAGAGATTCACAATACTGATCCTCTCTGGTGCTAGTATCCTCGTTGTGGAGGCAAAGGGAGAGTTGGACATTACTGTAGAAAATATTTAAAGAGTTAAATACCTTTTCCAAGTCCTCTCCTTGGAAATATTTGTTACCCTCAAACCAAACTTTCAGCATGTACTTTTTAAACCCTTCTTTGTTATAAAATAAACAAATCTCTAGTTTTTCTGCTTTGACCAAGATATGTAAATGCAATGTTTTGTGACTTATAAAACTGTGTTTATATAAGGGATATTTATGTTTGGTGTAATCCTGCACAACCCCTGCCTAGCAAGGACAAGAAAGACAGAAACAAGTATTTATTAAGTATTAATTATGTTCCAGGCAGTGTACTAAGTGCTTTGCAAGTATTATCTCATTTGATCCCTACAAAAGCCATGAGAGGTGGGTGCTATTATTATCTCTATTGTACAGTTGAGGAAACTGAAGCAGACAGAGGTTAAGTGACTTGCCCAGGCTCATATGGCTAGTATGTATCTGAGACTGGATTTGAATTGAGGTCTTCCTGACTCCTGGCCCAGTGTCCCATCCACTGCATCATCTAGCTCCCTTCTTTGCAAAATAGAAAGTCAGCCATTTAAAAATAAAGGTTTGGGTTTCTTAGGAAAAGGAGAATAGTATTAATATGGAGTGAACATTGACTTAAATTGCATGGTTAAAGGGTTCTTCAGTCAATCCTTTCTTGAAAAGAGAGGTGTTTGATGCACTAGTTGGGAAGAATATCTTGTGTAAATAGCAATAGTGACAGAAGAGCTAGACCATAGTATGCTGAGAATAGTGGCCCACTTCAGGACATGGGATAACATTGAAGCAAGTGCTAAAGTCTGATGCTTTCTGTTCTTTGTAGCTCTCTTGTGAAAGATGCTTCCCCAGTGCCCCTGCTTGATGTCACAAACATGCCTACACCTCGAAAGTTTCTTGACACTTCTCAGTTTGGTACTCCTGGAAGCTCAACTGGTAAGTATCTAAATTTCCAATTACTCAAGTTTCTTTTTAGTTTCTTCACATACTTTTATTTTCTTTCATTTCCATTCTCTGTAATTAGATATGAATTATTCACTTATATTGGTAGAAATCCATTTTAGCAAACTATAAGGGATTATCCAAATTCAACCCATCAGTCAGTCTGCATTTTTTAAGGACTTACTGCTAGGTAGTGGGAATACAGACACAAAAATGAAACAGTCTTGACTCTCAAGGAGCTTATATTCTAATGAGGGAGACAACATGTGCATACATTAATACCTAAAGAATATATACAAAATAAATGCACGGTGATTTGGAGAACTTTTTTAGCAGCTGGGGGAATCAGGAAAGGCTTCATGTAGAAGGTAATGCTTAAGGTGATTCTTGAAGGAATTAAAGGATTCTAAGAAGCATAGGTGAGGAAGGAGGGCATTCCAGGTATGGCAGACAGCCAGTTCAAAAGCTTAGAAGCAGGAGGTGTATCGTCATTTGTGAGGAGCAACAATACATCCAGTTTGGCTGGCATGTAGAGTACAAGAAGGAAAGTTAATTGTAATGAAACTGGAAAGGTAGGTCAGAGCTAGGTTATGGAGGGCTTTTAATGCCAGTTCTAATTCAGCAAACATTTATGAATTACCTATTATTGGCAATCTCCACTAAAGTCCATTTGGATGACCTCTTGTGACAAAGAGGGGTGATCTGAGATTCTTTCAAGTGAGGCCAACAGAATACCTGCTCTGGCAAGCCCTTGCCACGTTTGAAAGCATGTAAGCCTGGTCCCCGTGTGCTTATTGTCTGAGAAGTAGCCAGCGACATTCAAAGAGGCTCACCTTCAAAACATAGGTCCCCAGGTAGTTTATGTTTTTGGTCTCAGCACTCACAAAGACCGCCTGTTCAAGCTTGGAGGGTTTGCCATCTGTATCTGTGGCAGGAGTCCCTACAATGTTCAAATTGCCGATTCTTGAAATATGTGCAAATGATTAGCAACAATAATAATAGTAATCACGATAATAACTGATAGGGATTGTTTTATGGTTTGCATATATTATCCTTTTTGATCCTTGTAATAGCAATGTGGGATCAGTGTTGTTACTTTCATTTTATAAATGAGGAAGTTGATGCTCCTAGATTTTAAATGACTGACTTGTAGTCACATTGTAAACGAGGGAGGCAAGATTATAATCCTGGAGGATTCAAGTCTTCCTGGCTTTGAGTGCAGCCCTCTTTATACTATTGACTTTACATCCTATTGACTTTCAAAGGCCTGTGCTATGTCTGAGAAAGAGAGAAAAAGACTGTTCTGCTTTCAAGGAGCTTCCAGTTGAGTAGAATGGTAAATTCCATGAAATATATTATGCCATGAAAATTCAGAAGAAACAAACTTTTCTTTTTGTGATTTGACTGCTTTTTTTGAGAATGTAGGCATTGCCCGTGGTTTCAAAATCATTTTTTTTATAAAGAGATATTTATTGTGAAAGAGTTGACCACTTAGGCAGCCAGGTGGCATAGTAAATACAGTAAAGGATTTGGAGTCAGGAAAACATGAGTTCAAAGCTTACCTCAAACTCTTACCAGCTGTGTAACCCTGAACAATTCACTTAACTTCTCTTAGCCTCAGATTCCTCTTCTGTAAAATGGAGATAATAATAGCACCTGCCTCACTGAGTTGTTGTAAGGATCAAATACAATAACTTCTTTAAAGTGCTTTGCAAATCTTAAAGCTCTCTCTTTATGTTAACTGTTATTATTATTTTTTAAAAAAATAGTTCAGTTAAAGACAAGTAGTTAGAATTCTTCCTTTAGATAGATTGGAAGAATTAAAGATAAAAATCACATTTGGCTTGCATTTTGTCTTGTGGCGAAGCTAAATCTGTTACCATGGAGGATGGAATTTTAAAAAAGTGAGACAGACATTTGGAAGAGCTCATGCTTACATGTAGGCAGCCTGCAACTTACTGAATGGAATGCATTCTGAAAACTTAGTGGGAAGTCAGTTTGGGGAACTCAGTATGTACTTACCTATTGAATTTTATATGGTTAAGTCCTTATGCTAATTCACAAAAACTTAACCTGCAACATATTGAAAGTTTCATATTGTAATAGTTTTACCATAGAAGCTAACCGTGATGCATAACATTGTTTTTTTAGGGAAATGAATTGAGTTAAATTTTGGGAAACCCAAAATACATCTTTATTATGTGGAAATTGTGCTGTTGTTCTCAAGTGGAAAAAGTGTCCCTCTGCCTCCAGGAAGCTGATGTGTGGAGTTCTCCAGCTCCCAAGCCTATGTGTGACATCTATAGCCTAGGTCTGTGCTGGTTTGGGGGTGAGAGACTTGGAGTATGGAGAGGAACAGTGAGAATAGATTCGAATGATGAATGGAATAAGGATAGAACTCTGTAAAGATTTTGAGGCATTATTCTTATGAAATCAGCATAAACAAAGGCATGGAAATAGGTCTGCGTTAGTGTGTTTGAGAGACAGTGAATAGGCTTTTGGGCTGGAGATGTGATCCATGTAGGAGAGTAATGATTTGAGAAGACTGGAGAGACAAGTTGAGGAAGGCTTTAAATCCTGTGCAAGGATTTTTTACTCTTAGTGGGGAGCCTTTGAAGATTTCTAAGCAGATTTATGACATGATGTAAGTGGTATTTTTAGAAGATTAATCTCTTGGAGGTATAAGTATGCCAGGATATGTTGGGGGTAGGATGGAGATGATGTGGGACCAGTCAAGAGGCTTTTGTAGTTGTCCAGGGATTAGATAAGGGTCTGGATTAGATTGGTGTGAAAATGAAAGAGAATGAATATTATGAAAGAAAAATGAGTAAGATTTGAGTACTGATTTGGTATAGGGGAGAGATGGAGGTTTTAAAGTATATCCCCAGGGAGGAGTGGGCTTTCAAGACTGGAGTCATGAGAACATGGTGGTTATATGAAAAGAAGTCAGGATGAGGCACTAGTTGTGGTGGAAGATGAGTTTGAATTTGCTTTGCTGAAATTAAGGTGACAATGGGAAATCCAGATGGAAAGGTCTAGTAGGCATTTGAGCATTTCGAACGGGTGCTTGGCAGAGTTGTTAGGGGTGGAGATGTAGATTTGAAAATCAAGTCATGATCTTTGAAGACACGAGAAATGGCTCAGATCTTCAAGGGACAGTGGGTAATGAAATAGGAACAGAAGGCTAAGAACTGAGTCTTGGAAAAGATCCTATGAGAAAAAGAAGAAAATCACAGGATCATACATTTAGAGACAGAATCTTGGAAATCATTGAGTATGCCCCCTTCATATTACAGTTGAGGAAACAGAAGCCCAGAGAAGTTGTAACTTTTCCCAGGGAGGTCACTCAGCTGGCAAGTGGAAGAGCTGGGCTGTGAACCCTGGTCTTCTGACTCCAAATGTTGCACTGTCTCTGTCATGAGGATTTGAGAGGTAGAGTGATTCAGTGTAGAGTTATAGAAAGTATTTGTGGGTGGCCAGCAATTTCTAAAACCGGGAGCTGGTCAAGGAAAATAAAGATGAAGAAAATGAGGCCAGTTTCCTTCTAGGTGCTAGAAGTAGGTGTAAGACTTAAGCAGGAGGGAATGATGAGGAAGAGACCAGGTGGCAAAAGAACAGAAGCAACTGAAGAGGTTTCCCTTTGAAAGGAAAAAGAAAAATACAGTGTTAGGTATCAGGGGTATTAAGGTCAAGGGAAGATTTTTCCAGATGTGGGGCACATGCGCATGTTTGATTTTTTTTTTTGAGCTGATCAGAGTTAAGTGACTTGCCTGGGGTCTCACAGTTAGTAAGGTGTCTGAGGCTGGATTTGAGCTCCAGTTCTCCTGACTTCATGGGTGTTACTCTATTCAATGTGCCGCCTAGCTGCCCCTTACACATGCATGTTTGAAAGCCCAGGAGAGCACTGGAAGAACTGTGTGCATTCTGACTTGAGTAACATCGATGAAAAACTCACCAACAAGAGACCAAATTCTGTATACCGAGAAACTGGGAAAGTCTCATTGAATGAAACACCCTCCTCATAGGAGAGAGGAGGAGGCCTGTGGGGGCAGAATGTTATATACAGCAGCAGATGCAGTAGGCATGATACTGGACATTTTTGCTTCTTTGCTTTTTTTTTTGTCACAGGAGGGAGGGTTTAATCTGGAGGAGGGAGGGTATTTCTCCCCCCCCACCATGGTTGTGATTTAGAGACAAAGCCATCTATTAAATGTATATATTTTTAAAAAATAGTAAAGGGGAAATCTTAAAGAGGAATAGGAGAATTTGACTTGAGAGAGCAGAGTCTTGGAGGAATACAGAGGGGATGGAACTGTAAAGGGAATAGCTTTGAAATAGTGAGTGGGCGAGGCTTCTTGGATCAAGAGGTAAGGAAGACAGGGAGGATCGAGAATATATGTGGTGACAGTTTAGTTGATATGAAACTTCATATGTATAATAACGGTATTTTCATGAAACATCCTAGATAATTCTTTTTCTGAGTAACTGTATTCAGTGATCTGATATTTCAAGATAAAATTTTCTTATGCCTTTTTAAGCTTAATAAAACTTCCAGCTTCATGTATAAAGAAAGATTTTTGTTGTTCAGTCGTATCTGACTCTTTGTGACCCCATTTGGGGTTTTCTTGGCAAAGATACTGGAGTGGTTTGCCATTTCCTTTTCCAACTTATTTTATGGATGAGGAAACTGAGGCAAACAGGGTTAAGTGACTTGCCCAGGGTCACACAGCCAGTAAGTGTCTGAGGATGGATTTAAACTCAGAAAGAGGAGTCTTCCTGCTTCCAGGACCGGCGCTCTATCCACTGCATCACCAAGTTGCCCCCACAAAGAAATATGAGGGTGCCTGTAATCCAGATGCAATTCTAAAAAATTATTCTTTCTATCTATATGTGGCATTTACTGACTTGCATTAGAATACATTTCCCTGCCTTTGTTGAGTACCTCTCTCCTGTTACAAAGCACTGCAAGTATTTTCATCCATGAAGCAACACTG